TCTGAGCTACCAGAAGCCTCCCTCCAACCCCTTGCAATGGAATAGGACACTATCTTGGTGCTCTTTTTCCTTTTTGTTCTGCCAAATCTTACACAGACCCTTTCCATTTTGGAGGTCTTAAGGACTGACCACTTTGGGGAAATGAGAATAGCACTTTTCTGTCTGGGCTGGAATATTCTTTCCTTGACTATATTTTTCCAACTCTAGTTATCTCCTTCACAATATCCAGGAATATCTTTGGCACCGGTATTTGACAACTTTATGCTTCCCCATAGGCTGTTTTATAGAAATGCATTAATTAGCTTATTAATTGATTTATACCTTCTTATTCCAAAATCTGGTGTCAGGGGTGTCTCTAGTCCATAGGTCATTTGGAGGTATGAAATGGTGGACATACCTGGTCTTCCAAGTATCTAAACTTAGTAGGTTCAATAAGAGGGCTAAACTGATCTTTTGGGTTAGGATGTCCCAGATCTCAGACCTTAGATTGATTTCTGTCTTTCCACTCATTTTTTAAAGGAGAGCATGTCCAGTACCACAACTTTAAATATTACCTTTGTATTATTGGTGACTACTAAATAAACATCTGTAGTCCCTCATGAAGTTCAGACTCATTTCTGATTACATACTGGATCTCTCCCCTGGTATGTCCATAAATACTTTAACTTGTCAAAATTAAACTCTTGATTCTTCATAACCTAAATTTGCTTTTCCTCTAGCATTCCCAGTCAAAGTAAACTGTTATTCATGCCAAAGATCTTTGAGTCTTTCTCTCATATACCACATTCAATTTTTCAGCAAGTGCTAGTACAGTACTTTTTAAAATATATCTCAACTCTGCCCACTTATGATTTCCTCATTCTAGTCCAAGCCATCATTTTCTCTCACCTTGATCAATGCAATAGGCTGGTGATGGTCTCCTTGCTTCACTCTTGCCCTGACCCCCCACTTTATTTATTTTTATTTTTTTATATTTTGTGACGGAGTTTTCCTCTTGTTGCCCAGGCTGGAGTGCAATGGCGTGATCTTGGCTCACTGTAACCTCCACCTCCTGGGTTCAAGTGATTCTCCTGCCTCAGTCTCCCTAGTAGCTGGGATTATAGGTGGATGCCATGATGCCCAGCTAATTTTTGTGTTTTTAGTAGAGACGAGGTTTCACCATGTTGGTCAAGGCTGGTTTCGAATTCTTGAGCTCAGGTGATCCGCTTGCCTCGGTCCCCTAAAGTGCTGGGATTACAGGCGTGAGCCACCACATCTGGCCGACCCCCCACTTAAAAATAAATTATATTATAGTTCTGTGCTGCTTAAAACTCAATGACTTCTCTCTAACAAGAGCTAACCTAACCTGGCCCTTGACTGCTTCTCTGATTTCAAACTCTATGAATATCCCTTTCGATCACTCCCCTCCCGCCACACTGGCCTAATTTTCTTCAATCAGCCTAGGCACATTCCCACCTCAGAGTTTTTACATTTGCTCTTCTTTCTACCTTGAGCTCCTTTTCTTCAGATATTTATGTGGCTTGTTCCTTTACTTCATTTGGGCCTATATTCAAATGTTATTTCCTCAGAGAGGCTTATTTCTTTATTAGCCATCTTGCTTAAAGTAGCACCCTCCTAAATTTGCTCTATAGTTCTTATTGCTGTTGCACATTATATTAAAACTATTTGTTTTATTATCTGCGTCCACACTTGAATGCAGGCTCCATGAGGGCAGGGAGGGCAAGGGTATTGTCTGTTTTGTTCACTGCTTTCTCAGCACCTGGAACAGTGCCTGGCTTATATGATATTCTAAATATATATATATGACAAATGAGTGAATTTATGAAAAAGTGGATGCACCTATTCTTTGAAAAAGATTCTGGAGGAATGCGTAACCTCACTTGGCAGGATCCATAGTCTCCAAATCAATGCTCTTGCCTCCATGCATAGATTAGTTATCTAACCAGGGTATGCATGCTTTTGGCTCCATAACCCTCACCCCTCTGAGTCTTTTCCGGTAGCTATTCCCTTGTTTACCTACTCTCACAGGCCACACTGTCCTTCTTCATCCCATAAAAGTGGGGTTTAAAAAGAATTTTATAACAAATGCTCATACATAGGAAAAGCAGTTTTTGTTTAGACATATGGGTTATTTCATGACAGCAGTGGTGAGAACAGAAAACAAGGTAAAAGAAATGAGAGACTTGGAAACATTAAACTCTAGAGTTCTGAAGGAACTTGCAAATATTTTGGAGACAGTATCCTTGGGAAATCACAGCAAATGGGAAAGGCAACAAAAGATTACATTTTTTACTAGTTATATCTCACCTGAGTGTTCCATGTCTAACATTGAGCCCATTCTGGGTTACAAGGTTTTTAAAAAGACAAATGTGTTCAGAGTTGGTTAACAATGTAGTGAGGATATTCGTTATTAGATATAGGATTCAAAGGGATGAGTTTCATGGAACCAAAAGCATGCATACATTGGTTAGATAACTGATCTATGCATGGAGGCAGGAGCAGTGATTTGGATACTATGTACAGTATCATACAAGTAATGGTTGAATCAATTAGGGCATTATTCTAAATGTTTTTTGTAAAAAGTTATTTAGTCCTCATCCTATGAAGTAGATACTATCATGTTTATTTTCAGATGAGGAAATGAAGGTACAGAGAGGTTTAATTACACTCTAAGTGTTACACAGCTAGTAACAGGTATGGCCAATACCGATTTTATTCTGATTTCAGAATATGTGCCCTTAACCACTGTGTTATTTTCTTTGAATATTTGAGGTGGGTGCTATTGAAGAATTGAGGTACTGTGGAAGTTGTAGGGAGTCAGTTGCATCCTTAGCCCCAGTCTCAAGAGTCACCACCTCCTTCTCAGTTCTCTGAGTCTACCCAGTATGTACTTCTATAATAGGTATGGTAAACTGGTAACAGCACTTTATTACAGTTATTTGCTTTGATCTCGACTTCTTTTTATTAACCTGTATTTAACCTACTTTAAGAATTATATTTGATTTCTTTTTGAACCCTTTAATTTAGTGCTTGGTATATAATCAACATTCAGTTTTTGGTGAATTAAAAAATTAAGGAAGAATCTTTAAATTGGTTACAACTGACCCATGGTAGAATAGCTTTTCTGTGAAACAGTGAGCTCCTGATCACTGGCACTATTCAAGCATGGGCTAGATGCTTGAAGGGATGCTGCAGAAGGAACATCCACGTCATGTGGAAATGGAAAATTAGACTGAGTTTTTTTATAACTCTGAATTATCTGATGTACCATCGAGTTAGTTATGATTCTTTCTCCAAACATTTGTTGAGCACCTACTGTATTCTTGGAACTACAAAGATAAATGTGGCCAAGCAAATATCCATAAGGAGCTGATAGTCAGTGGGTAGTTAGGAGAAGAAGTGCTTAAGAGTATAGGTGTAAAGCTTTAGTAGAGAAAAATAAATAGAAAAACGATAGATTTTAGAGATGTTTTGAATAAAGGAGGAAGGGGAGAAGTACATAGGAAAGATGTCCCTAAAATTGCCTGATAAGGGAGAATTTGGGGAGTGAAGACCACATGCTGTGTTGCTATGGGGGTATTCTTCAAAAAGGAAATATCACTATTTGCCATTAAGGTGTGTGGTAGGGCTGGATGTAATTCAGTGGAGATTAATTCGTGAAACATTTTAAATTTGGAGACTCCTGCTAGTCTCCAAACACATAAAGATGATTAAGTACCTCCCACTCTCTGCCCCTTTAGAGGCATTAATATAAAATAGAATGATCTGTTAAGTCAAGTAAAGGTAAACATTCTGGTGACTAAGACAAGAGTTCTAACAGTAAATGCAAAGCAACTCTTCAGTTTCTTTCCTGAATAATGTGCCTGGAATCTGTTAGGCAGTAAGGAATGGTGGTCTGTCTTTATATTACCCTGGTCCCTCATGCTGCTTATCTTTAACACATGTCCAAATATGTCTCAACACAGAATCATCCTCTCTAGCTGGGACATGATGCCTAGGTGGGTGGGGGATTCTCCTGTTTTGTTTAAAATCAAAAGTTGTCTTTGAATTTGGCTAGCATGTTGATGATTAGTTTACTGACAATTGGTTTTTTTCTTCTTATACCATATGTTATTCCATGATTCATCAGCTTTGAGTCTGTTGCCTTGAAGGTGAAACAATTTCTTCCAATGTTGATATTTCATAATCTCATAGATAACAAGCATACGCATATGCATAGTCCTTTCAGAAGTTTTAAACATTTGGAGATGAATGAATTATGCTGCCACAAATGGAAAGGAGCAGTATAAAATTATAATGGCGATATCCAGTCATCTTTTGTGGAGTGATTTTGTGAACACTGATATTGATAAAGCCTAGATGCTTTACTGTATTCTTCTATCTCTCCTTGTGAAATTGTTTCTGATATGTATTATTTGTTTATGATTTAAAAATTTAACATTTTACTTAACTGCCTTGATTTACATGTATTTTAATATTTTAGACTGATAAGATCTTTATTTTTAGAAGTAGTGTTTAACTTCCAAATAAATGCATGACATTAGCTATTTATATTGTAATAGTGGCATCTCTTATATATTTAATGTGCAGCAATGACTATTCAAACCTCAAGAAATGTTTTAGTTTATGATATAGTAGTAATCTTTCAGAATATCTCAATAGAATACAGTACATTTTCTGAATCCAAAACAAAGCAGTTATTTCTGCATAGGTGCTTTCTAAGTATTTAGGAGATTAGACTTCTGATAAACACAGACTAAATTAGGTTTTTGCATGTAGCTTTAATCAATGCACTTATTGCATTGCATCCTTTAACCACCTGTCTCTTTTTACTCATAATGTCAGTAATTGTTTTTCAGTGAAGAAAATTCTCTATCCTGTTATAGTATAGATGCATGTGTAAAATATCTGTATAAGTTGTACATTTGGAGAGAGGTTTTTTAAAGATTCCCAATCACAGCATGTCTTCTTCCCTCTCTTCCCTCCTTACCTGGTTTTAGCTCCTCTTTTGTTCAGGTGTGCTGGTGTCCCTAAGCCTTTCTGGGCCACAGCTGGAGAAAGTGGTGATTGACAGAAGCCTGGTGGGGAAACTCATCTCAGACACCATCAGTGATGGTAATTACCCCCATGTGCAAATCAATTGCCTACATTAACAGTGGGGCAGGAGAAATAGTGTGTCAACAGGTAGACTAATTATTACCACTGGGGAATTGCAAACACAACAAGTAATTGCTTGTAATAGCATACTTAAACCCCCCTGGGACCAATACAAGTTTTGACTAATATTTAATATCAATGTTTTTTTCTTCTTGTCAAGTGTTAAGCTTACATTCTGAGTTTTCACTTTTTCTTTAAAAGAAGTGAACATTTTTTCAAAATAGGGTTTTGTTTTCATTATTTCAAAATTAGTTCTTTATAATTGGTACTTCAAATATATATTTCATTTCCAAAGGAATTTTGAATAAATAACACAAATATATCAACCCAGTAACCAGTAGACAATTGGTGTTTTGGCTCTCATAGGAAGATTCTTTGTTACTAAAGTCTTAGGAATACTAACTTTTGAGAGACTTTGGGCGTATTTTCTAAATAGCAAATATCAATGCCAAATATACTGGATAATCAGATCCTATTAAGTGACATCATAATCAGTCACTGATTTGTATAAGTGGTACAAAGCACATAAGAAAAAGATGTTAAGCCAGTTATTGAATAGGAAGGATACTGACATTTATTGAGCCAAAAGTCTCTATGTTCGGTTCCTAATGTACCTATTTCATTTAATACAATAAAACAATTGTATAAGGAAACGGAAGCTGAGCTACTAAGGAACGTGTCCAGAGTCATATAGCTAGAAAGTGATTTTGCTGAGATTTGAATACAGGTTCTAGCTGCAAAGTACATTTTCTTTTCACCATACTGTGCTGACTCCTGAATTTTTAAAGATTATATTCTTTTATTCAAGGTAAAAAGGTTGAGAAACATTGTATTATTATGAAAGATTGAAATGGTCAGTATCTTAAATTTAGTAATCAAAGGAAGTATGTCCTAGTGGAAAGGACAGAGGTTAGAATAAAGAAATCTTCTGTCTGCTGTGTGGTCTTACTAGCTATCTCTGAACAAGTCAGACACAATCACATCATCTTGAAGAAAAGAACTCTGCAGGATGGCTATAATTAGCAACATTAGTGACAGTAATAAGCTGGGGGTAGGATTGTAAGCATGCCATTTCCCCTTCCTTACAGGAGTAAGGTGCTGAGGAAGCTTCCCTTTGGAAGAGGTTTCATTTTCATATGTCTAATAATTGACCCCTTGGTTGATACTACAAATAGAATACTGGCTGTGATGATTTTGTTAAATTGATACTCCTCAATGAGAATTAAAAGGAGACTTCCAATACAATTCGTGTCTCTGAATTATCCTTTTTCACGTATTTCTTTTATTTATACCCCAAATAATACATTCTCATGGGAATATGGTAACAGTGTGATTTCTTGGCAGTTCTCCAGATTCTCTTGTAATTGTGTAGATCTGCTGTTGGTCGCTATTTGCATGGTTGGGGTGTGAAAGTAAAGGAAAATGTATAAAACATTTAATAGTTTCTTTATGCTAGGAACAGTGTAAAACATTCCTCAGATTCCTGTAATATGTTTTTATCAATAACTTTATATAACATTAATGGCTCTTTATATAATCCATGAATATTAGTTACCTACCTACCTGTGTGCTTTAATGACAAAGCTGTAGAAATATTGTTGTTAATTTTCATGATTAAATATTGAGAATGATTAAATGTTGGGTACATAAATATGTACTTACTGGATATAATATGCTTTATTTCCTCCAGCTTGTATACCCCTAAAAGAAGATTCATTGATAAAATGTTTTTAAATAAAGAGATTGGTGGAGAACACTGATCAGTATCCCCTAATAAATCCACTTTATCTTCATATTATCTCTATCCTGTAATATGTTTTATTCCATGTTAAATTTATTTTTTATAAGAATAAATGTTTCTACTAAATAAAACTAAATCTTCCCACACCACTGCCACCTCATGGATAAGTAATTAGGATTAAAATCTTAGCACAAATAAAATAGAATGTTTTCATCGCTACATTCAGGTGTGAAATCGTTTTTTAAAATACCTTTATAGCCCTGATTCTAAATACATCTCATTTGGTGGTTGTCTCCAAACATCAGTGTATATTGAAATAGTCACAGGAAAAAAGAATCATACATGATTAGATTGATAATTGTTGTTTATTCCTAATATCTTTAATATTTTTATAAAATGCTATAATGCTATTCAGGAGACGTTAGTGATTTCAATTAATATGTAGTATGTATGTTTGAAAATAGCTTTTTGTAATATTTCCGTGTTAAACTACTCATTATTTTATTCTAACTTGATATTATCTAATTATGTTTTTTAGCTCTTCTCACAGACAGTTTCATCATCTTATCATTTCTGTCACACAACAAGCTCTGTTTTATTCAGTTTACCAAGAAGATGGATTCTTCTGATGTAAACAAAAGACTGGAAAAACTCTCAGCCTTGGATTATAAGGTAAAGATTTTGATTTATATAGTCCTTTTATTAATTATTAAGGTATATATGAGTATCAATATAAGTTGGTGTTCTGCTCATTATTCTTGAACATTGCTGGATTTCAGAAAAACTGGAAATGTTACAGGATTCAGCTTAATTAATTGCTAACAGTGGCCATCCTAAGTTTTCTTTTTTACTCTTGCTATGGGGGTGTGTCTAACAAAGGCATGTTTGGAGCAATTTAAATAGTATTAATAGATGTCAAAGACAGAAAGGAGAGGCAAGTTACACTTTTGAAAATGGTTTTCTTGCTAGTGGTAGTATATATACCGTTCTCATTTTACCCGAAGACCCCATACCATCTTTCGAGGGTAGGATAGCTGCTCTGGTTTCCACTTCATAAGAAAGGAAAGAAAGAAGAAGGCACTTTCAAACGTTAATAGAAAAGTGTAATAAACAAGAAGGGGGAAGAACCCTCCCCCTCCAAGTATAACTGGAGAAAATGCAAAAAGAAATCTCCTTCATGTGTTAGTATCTCTCTCTTCACTAACTCCAGGTAATTTGTTTCCTTACTGTATCAGGGGCTTTACATCTGTTAAGGCAGAATTTTTATTTTAAGTGATGTGTTTAAGTTTTGCCACATTACATTTTAGCTGCTGGGAAGGCATATTCTCTGCTAGGATGAGTATCTAATACATTTTCCAGGCTGTTTCAGTTCAAGGCCTCTTTTCAGCAATGACTTGTGTTTGCAAGATTGATCCAACCTCTGTGATGTGGATTTGAGACAGTTCACTGTTCACTGGGAACACAGCTGATATACAGCTTCCTTAAAAAAGATGCACACTTATGCCATACCTAGAGCATCTGTAGCAAGGGCAAAGAGTTTGAGAAGCTAGCTCTGTAGCTTGAAACGTGTGTGTGTCTTTGGCAAAGTAATATTTAACTTAACCTTTTACCCTTTGGGATTATTACTTATCCATGAGGTGGCAGTAGTGTGGGAAGGTTTAGTTTTATTTAGTAGAAACATTTATTCTTATAAAAAATAAATTTAACATGGAATAAAATATATTCAATGAGTTTTTCATTGTGGTAATAAACTACAATCTGTTTTTGTTTACCAGCTTTGTGAAACTTCTTTTCATGATGAGATACGGAAAACAGATCTAGCATTTGGATCCCTAAGCCTTAAGTAAAGGAATTACTTATTTGCTTATTTGAATATGCCTTTGGATTTGAGAAAATAGAACATGGACATCATGTCATTTCTGTACATTAGAAAAGTAATCTGTTTCCCCTTAGAAAGCTTATGAGTTTTATTTTCTGGTTTAATATTTAAAATATATATTTTTAATACTTAGTCAAATCTGCTATTTGTCCATTGGAAGGATATTTTAAGAAATTCATTTATTTTACTATCCCTCTTGGTCATCATGACAGAATACTGATAATATTAAACTCATAGGAAACATGAAATTTCCTGACGTTAAGTGATTTGCATTATGTGACAACTGAAAATGTCAGTCACTCATTGTAACTCAAACTCATCTAGAAATTCATAGGTAGCATATTTATGTGGCACATAAGACATCAAAATAATGTATGTGTATTTTTATGTACTTAGCAATTTCATTGTGATATTTCTCTCAAATAAGAAGACTTACAACAATGATATTAAAGTACATCTGTGTTGTCTGTCATTGCCCATTTGGATTTTAAAACGAGGAAGTGGTATAGAGTATTGTAATTTTGCTTTTCTTTACAGCTGTACCATAATTTAATTCTTTCAGATTGACATAATTTTGGCAAAGAAAATTGCAGGGTAAACATCCTTAAACTATTGACCTTTAACAAGTTTTCCTATCTACATTTGAAAAATCCAATTCAATTTATTTAACAGTGAAGGGACAGTGCAAGGAGTTAAATGTTTACCATGAGAGAACAACACTAGTAATTACTTTGATTTTAGTTTCTTTTGATGTGCATTCAGAGGATGAAGAGGTCAATAATATTATGGCCATGCAAATAGAAAAGGGTTCCTTTTGACCATATTGAAAAAAAATAGCAGAGGATTATTAAAGCATTAACCTTGATTTTAATGGCCTTGGTTGAGTGGTGAGATCACAATTTGGATGAGCCTGATTATTTACTAAATACAATACATAAATGCAACGGGTTCTTAACACCCATTGCACTCTGGCATTATCGCATTACTGCCATCCTTTGTTGCCTTGCAGACAGGAATATGAAAGCAATCTGTCATGTAGTAAGACTGGCTCCAGAAGCATTTCTCTGATAAGAAGAACCCCTGCCCTTTGCTAGTGTCTGGTCCAGTAGGCTTAGCCATGCGCTTAATCCCCAGAAAGTGGTTCGATTATTGCTGACCAGCAATGGCAAGATAGTTTTTTTTTTCTTCCAAGCTATCAACCTTCCATTAATTCCTTAAGCAGAAATACGGTGCAATCTATATTTCCTTGGCATGTGTCACACAGATGGTGCCGTGCTTATGTTTTCAAATAACCATGTTCCAAAATAACATAGTTTGAATAATAAATTCTACAAATCCTTCCTAAGAAAGAGAAGCATAATTCTCAGAAGCTGCATAAACTTTTATGCATGATACTGTGACTTATCCCTTTTATGCAGAATATATATGTATATGTCCCATATATTCTTTAAAGAGATGTTTGCCTCAAGTTGTTTTTCTTTTTATTGTTGTCAGTCATTGTTAACATGTTATGTCTTAAATAGTAGTGAGACATTCTTGGTCAGCAGTACTGAACTTGTCATTTTATACAGCTGGTCTTAAATCCTATGTGTAGGTCGATGCTGTCAAGTAACCATGACTGTACATTTTGGCATTAATTGGAATTGCTACATTCACTTCCTTCCTAACTCACGTTTCTTCTTTTCTTTCCTTTGCTAAAAATGGGGAGAATTTTGAACATATGTCTTTTTTATATATGTGTCAAAAGAATTTGGTAAATTCTGACAGCTTCTTAAGCACATGTTTAACATGCATATTTACTTGAATGTATCTACATTTCCAGATGCTTTCATTTTTGTAATACTTTGAGGATTTTGCGTCTTTCAAAAGAAATGTTTCATGTATGCTTTTTTTCTAATTATTAGATTTTCTATTATGAAATACCTGGCCCAATAAACAAGACAACAGAGCGTCGTCTAGCTATCAACTGTGTTCATGATAGAGTTGTTTGCTGGTGGCCACTGGTCAATGATGATGCTTGGCCTTGGGCCCCCATTTCTTCTGAGAAGGATAGAGCCAATCTACTCCTCCTGGGTTATGCTCAAGGAAGGCTAGAGGTAAATCTAAAACAAATATGTACATTTTAATAAAGTGTAAATAGGATTATTAGATTTTTCTATTTTGAAAGAAATGTGAATTATTTTTTACCTATAATTTATTTTTTCAAATATTTAAAAAAAGAAAATTACATATGAAATAAGATCCTAAAAAGCATCACATCCAGAAGATGCCCAGACAATTCCAGGGCTGGTCAGAATAGTGTAGTAATTTAGAGTGAGGCTTCCAGGTTCAAATGCTAGCTCTGCCACTATGTAGCTTCCTTTCCTTGACCAAGTTACTAACTTGTATGTGCTATTGTTTTATTATTTGAAAAATAGAGTTAATGATGATGAATGAGTTAATATATGCATTTAGAGCAATATCAATATATATTAAACCCTGAATCATTGTTCACTATTATGACGCATGTTATTATCATTATTAGTTCCATCATTACTGTTTACTCATGATATCATGCCTGTGAAAGCTTTTGTTACCAATTACCCTCTTCAAACTTAAGTCAATTAACAAACAGTCAAATGTTTATATTGTGTAAGGCCCTTCATGCCAGACTGTAGCTGGGTCAAGGATATGTAAGAGAACTATAAATTAGTCTATGAGGTGAGGACTATATCCTCTATCAATTCATGATAATGGTTTGATCATTTATTCATATATGTGAACCTATGTGTATTTTCTGTTTGTACTAGTAGTTTGGGTACAAAATTCTCTATTTTTTCATTATAACTGTAGAAAAAGCTCCCTCTCTCCCTCTTTTTATGTAGGTAAAGTAGTATGGTGCTATATTTTCCTCTATTTCTCAGAATTAATATTCAATATAAGATGAATAAGTTTAAGTATTTTCTATCCATACCGACCTCTCCTGGTTTTATAAACTTTCAGGTTATCTTTTAAGACTGGGGCATCCTAAAGTTTGATGTGTAATATATATGTGTGTATGTCTTCTGCAAAAATCTTCTTAATTACCTCTAGATTTTTTAGTTTTCTTTTTCTGGAACTTTTCTAATTCTGTTGCAGTGACTAAAATCACTTGTAGTGATGTAGGTGTGGATTTTTGTGAGGCTAAAGAAGTGCCCTTTTCCTACTCATTTCCTGTTCATGATCACCATTTTATTGATCTTGGGTTCAGAAGTTCATTGAGTAAAAGACTTTGTTAAAATGACTTAATGTAATTAAACTAATTAGAATTCAATTAAATGTGTGTCTTATAATAAAAGTAAAAATAATTAGTTTTTAATTATATATTTTACAAATTACCTTTCTTTGAAATGAGTCTTTATATGAAATTAGGACTGTCCTAAAAGGATATACATAGTCTACATACCTCATTGCCTAGTGTCATCTAGATAATTGAACAAACTTGGAGTTGCCTGTTGATCGCCCCATATACTAACTATATGACTTTAATCAAGTTTACTACCTCTAAGCTTCTGCCTGCTTCTAGCTGATTCTGTGTTCTGTGGCTTTGAGTTGATAACCTTCCTTCTCTGGCTTTAGTATTCTTATTTTTAAAACGATAGAGTTAATCCAGATAGGTCACCTCCAGGTCTTTAACAGCTCTAAAAAGTGCTTCTATGGATCCTGAAGCACAGATCTGATTTAAACATTGCCTGCCCAAAAGTCTTCCGTAGATGCTAAAACCAAACTCAGCCTCAGCACTAAAAAACCCACCCTGATTGGCCTTGGCTTACCTTTCCAATGTTGTTTCCTTACATAAGCCCCCTTAGTTAAATGAATTTACTTGCGGACTCATTATTTCCTACCTCTGCCTGTGCACATTAATGCTATTTCTACTTGTAATAGCTGTTATTTAGCAACTATTGAGCATGACCATGGGGGTAAACAGTGTATTTCGTACCAAGGGATATGACTAAGAAACTGTCCTTGCCAGCAAGGATCTTAGTGTCTGCCAATAAGAGACAAATATGAAAATGTGTAAGTGCATTAAAGTGTTAATGGTGCTGTGGGTAGAGTATGTGTAAGCTGTAGTGGGAGCCAACGGAAATGGTGATTGATTCTACTTAAAGAGATGTTAAGTAGGGAAGATTGAAGAGGCTTCCCAATGTGTTCAAATATGAGCATGGCCCACAATTTTACTTTTTAAATTATCCTTTGTAGGGTTGATGTCAAAGTTATACTAGCTCTGTAGTATGATTTGGCTAGCTTTTTCCTTTCCTCCTCTCTTAAACAGTACCAAAAGGAATTGATAATTGAAAGTTTGGTAAAACTTAGCTTTAAAATTTCCTGGGTGTGATGTCTTTCAGGGATGGTAGATTTTTCATTACTGATTTTACTTTTAAAGTTTTTTTTTTCTTTTATTTCTGTAATTTGTGTTTCTAGAAAACTATTCCTTTTTTGCATTCGAATATTTTTTCATAAAGTTGTATCCAAATTTGTACATGATTCTTTATTCACCACTGATTGTATAATTTCCTCTCTTTTGATCTTATTAAGATAAATCATTTTTTTTGTCAAGAGCTTTTTAGGAATTAGCCCTTTTAATTATTCTAGCTGGAAAAATTTGTAAAGATTTCTTTTTTAGAACTTTATGTGAAATTTATTATGCAAAAAGTGTAATCTTTTAGAAGAAATGTCTAGGACACTAATTGTTTTCCTTGTGTGTGTGTGGAGACATAATCTTTAAATATGAAGTATAGAAATTTTTAGAATATTATGAACCAAAAGCACCAGTCTATTAAAGGTAGTACTCAGGAATATATTCCTTTAAACTTTTTTTTTCCATTAGCGGCCAAGTTGCTTCTTGGACAAATCATCAGGATAAAGATACAATATACTCTTAAACCCTAAAATTCAAACTAAAAATATAGCAGCCTCACAGAGAAGAAATTTCTTCATTGGATCTATTGAACTATAGAATATTTAAAAAACATTTATCATCTAGGTTCAATCAGAAAAGATAATAAGCTTTTATTTGGACAATGGAAGGATCTTAGAACGTAGTTCGTAGCCTTGACAATGTATTAAAATCACTTACAGAGCTTTTAAAAAGGGGCCCACCCAGACCAGTTGCATCTGAATCTCTGGAAGGGAGGGAGTATCAGTATTTTTTATGGGTTCCCTAGGTGATTCTTGTGTGTATCCAAGTTGAGAACCACTGCTATACAGCAAACTTTAAAAAAATTTTTTTAAAGCCATCTTTTTTTATGTAACAGACCATGGAAAGGATAAAGCCCACATACTGAACCAAATGAGAGTTTTAACAGTAGATTCTAAGTAGAAAATTGGCTTACGAAGCAGCTAAAAACAACAAAACAAAGGAAACATAGAAATAAGCTCTCTGTGACTGAATTATGTGACTTTCAGAGGAGAAACATTTTAAAATTATTTTATGGATATTAGAAAACTGCTAGTCTAATTTCACACCACAGAGCTGTAAACAACAGTCCATATCTTAATTAGAAGAACAGAATAGAGAGAATCATGCAGTCTAAGAAAAAAAGTTTTTGAAAAATGTACAATAGATGGCACAGAAAAAAAATTGTTATCAGTAAATTCATTTTAACATATTAATATATTTTAATGGTGTATATTTAAATTATCACATATAACATGGTAGTTGTTTTCGTTTGAATTTCCACATACTCTTTTTCTTTTATTTTTCAACTTATTTTAGAATTGGGAGGTACCTGTGCAGGCTTGTTTTAAGGTATATTGCATGATGCTGTGGTTTGGGCTGCAATTAAAACCATCACCCAGCTAGTGAGCGTAGTACCCAATAGGTAGTTTTTCAGTTCTTGTCCTCCTCGCTCTGTCCTCGCTCTACTTTTAGTCCCCACTGTCTATTGTTCCCCTCTTTATGTGCATGTATACCCAGTGTATAGCTCCCACTTATAAGTGAGAACTGTTAATACAACAGTATTAACTTTTCTGTTCCTGCATTAATTCACTTACATAATGGCCTCCAGCTGTATCTCTGTTGCTGCAAAGGACATACTTTTGTTCTTTTTTATGGCTGCATAGTATTTTGTGTGTGTGTGTGTGTGTGTGTGTGTGTGTGTGTGTGTATCACATTTTCTTTATCCAATACACCATTTGATGGGCATCTGGGTGGATTCTATGTTTTTGCTATTGCGAATAGCCCTGTAGTGAACTTATAGGTGCACATGTCCTTTTGGTAGAATGGTTTATTTTCTTTTTGGTGTATACCCCGTAATGGGATGGCAAGGTCAAATGGCAGTTGAACTCTTAGTTCTTTGAGAATCAATTTCCAAACTGCACTCCACAGTGAATAGACTAATTTACATATCCATCAACAGTGTGTAAGTATCCCCTTTTCTCTGTAGCCTCACCAATTTCTGTTATTTTTTGAATTTTTAACAAAAGCCATTCTGACTGGTGTGTGATGGTATCTCATTTTGGTTTTGATTTGCATTTCTCTGATAATTAATGATTATGAGCATTCTTTCATATGTTTGTTGGCTACTTGTGTATGTCTTCTTTTGAGAAGTTCATGTCCTTTGCCTGCTTTCTATAGAGGTTATTTGTTTTTTGCTTCTTGATTTGTTTACGTTCCTTATAAATCCTATATATAGACCTTTGTTGGATGCAAAGTTCACAAGTACTTTCTCTCATTCTGTAGGTTGTCTGTTTACATCCTTTATAGTTTCTCTTGCTGTGTAGAAGGTCTTTAGTTTAATTAGGCCCCACTTATCAATTTGTGTTTTTGTTGCATTTGAGTTTGAGGTCTTTAACATAAATTATTTGCCAAGACTGTTATTGAGAAGGGTATTTCCTAGGTTTCCTTCTAAGATATTTGTAGTTTGAGGTCTTAGGTTTAAGTTTTTAATTCGTCTTGAGGTAATTTTTGTTTATGGTGGATAGGTGGGGTTCCAGTTTCATTCTTTTGCATATGAATAGCCAGCTATCCTAACACTGTTTGTTGAATAGAGAGTATTTCCCCATTACTTATTTTTGTCAGGTTTGTTGAAGATCAGGATGGTTGTAGGTGTGTGACTTTTTTTCTGGGTTCTCTATG